GAGGCTGAGTGACCAAACACTGGCTGCACATCCATACATTGACCTTAAATCACCACTGTCTTATGTCACTGCTTGTGATGATGCAAAGTAGCTGTTTGCCATTACTGAATCTGATAGCTATTTTAAACTGTTTTTTCACTGGCAACATTACTACTCACAGAGCAAAAGAGCAACTCAGCCTTTATCCCTGCAGCATTTTCCTCTTTTTATAATCTTTAAGCCTTCTCTAACCCCTGTATTTCTTGTCTCAGCAGTTCCTGTGGGAAATATCAGAGATCTGGAGCCAGATAACACGAGCAAATAGACTTTCTGAACACTGTTCAGTCCATTAGACAGGTCACCATGGGTCTCCTTGCAGTCGGTCTCACACTTCTCCTGGAATGGCGAGATCTGTAGGGCAGGGATGCAGGGGATCCCAGAAGGGAGGATGGATGAGAGAGATCAAACCACAGTAACAGGTGAGCATTGCTGTCTTCTGAAGTGAGGCTGGGATCTGAAGATGCTGAAAAACTGTTGGCCAAAGCTCCCACCTCCAGCATGGAGAAACAACGATTGGTGCTTCATGGGAAGGTTTGAGAGCCTTTTTAGGGTCAGTAGCACAATATTTCATCTTAATCTAGATTTGCACAAAACTCTGAAGCACAAATTTCATGCAGCCTCACGCAGTTGGTGGCCCCAGAAGCAGCTCTGTGCAATGAGATGTGCAGAGGAGCTGCATCTTGCTATGTCCCTGCCTGTGAGTTTCAAACCTTTCACTGAATGCTTTGTGTTAATCATTCGTTACATTACAAAAATATCATATTATGTTCTCTTTATTGTGTTATTTGTTGATACTGTACATGTCTTTCTTAGCTTTCCAAGACTGAAAGACCACCTGGGATGCTGTAGAGTATTTGACCTGCAGTTCCTGCTCCAGAACATTTTCATTGCAGGTCTCATGCCATATCTGCTATGGGGATATCTCTCTAAAGGTCTTTATCGTGTCTCATTAATGCAAGCATCACTAACTGAAATGACCATTTTTTTTCCAGTCATTCCCATGGACAAATGCAGAGAAATAGTGTGAACCTATGGCTTTCTAGCCACCCAGTTATGGTACTTCTCTAAGGGAATTTCACTGGGTTTCTCATCTTAAAAATAAATAATGGAAACCACCAAGACTCCTGGGAGGAATCTAACCTACTGCATCTTGTCTTTTATTATTTGTATTTGTGTAATTGTAACTTTCAGCTGTTACGTATTCAATGTTAAAAAGCTCCCTGCCACCAAAATAATTTCCATTTTCTTGTTTAAAGACTATGATAGACATACTTTTTCATTTTCAATTTCATTACCTAAATAGATTGAATTCTTAAATTGTTTCTTGTCCCACAAGTTTTCCAGCCCTTGAATAATTGTTGGGGCCTGTCTGCATTTTGTCTAATTTTTCAAGTTGACTTTGAAAAGTAGACTTTCAGAAAAAGTCAGAGATTCAGAAGTTGACTTAGTATTGGTAGCAATATCTCTACCTGCTTCCTAGTGCTCTGCTTATATATGCCAAGATTCCTTCTGTTGATACAACCTGCTGTATCTCATTCATTGAGCTGCTTACCAGAGTCCCTAAGTAGCTACTCCTTTCTGAAACACCTTCCATTAAAGGCAACATCCACTCTTGGTTCCTTGGTTGATTGAAATATATGTAGTTCATCAAGAAATATGGATACCTTAGTAAAACAAGCTTGGATTTAATAATGTTTTTCTGTCGTTTGACAGTTTCTCCAGATTTGAATTCTCTGTTTCTCCAATTAATTGAAAGATAACAAATAATATTGGGCTGAAACATTTTACTGTCTCTCTCTGCTTTAGACAGTGGCAGATTTCAAAAGCTACTATGAATGGTGAGTTACCAAGCACTCTTTTCTGATCCATTTATATATACCAAATTGTCTGATTCTAAAGCAATTCTTGGTGGAACTGGTGCCCAGAGACTGACTTGGACACCTGTCCACACCACCTGACAGGCTCCTGCTGCTGTTCTATCAGCTGAGCATTTTAAACAGCCTCTCAGACACTGAAAAACACAATTTAGTTTTCTGCAGGGACAGTTCCAGATGATGAGATAGCTCCTAAGAGCATCAGAGAAGGAATGGCTTGCTCACCTTCCCAAAGGAAAACTCAGTGGCCATTTGGCTGGGCACCAGTTCACTCAGTCCTCCCTAGGACTTCTCGCTTCTCCTTAAGGTAGCCGGTTGCATGTTCAGTCTCCTGGTCCCATTGGGACCGTAGCAGTAATGTAAAAACTTTAAAATAGCCTTTCTGAGAGCGAGCATCAGTCAGGTCTTCCTAAACAAATGCATCCTTTTAAAATGAAATGTACTTCTATAGAAAAAGCTAATCTAACTAGAGCAAAACATTTATGAGAATTAGATTTTTTTTTTAAAAAAATTATGTAACTGATACAAATTATATAACTTCCATACCTCTCAGAAGTCAGTACAATTATATTAGAATTGCAGTGTAATATTTTGGCAAAGTCCCATTTCAATCTTACCGCCTCCATGTATCTGACACAAGTATGGAAATCGCCACACGTTCCCCAGACCAACAGCAAATCCGATACAGCTTAAAATATACTGGAACTTATTGTCCCACTTGGGTCTGCCATCTTCTTTAGGGACTTCAGGTGTTGCTGATAAATCTTTTGACATTTTAATGAAATATCCTTGGCTCCTTAGCCCCTTTCCCTATAAGATGCTTTTGAAGATGCTTCAAAACCTGTCTATCCTACAGGTTTTATGTAGGGTGACAGGAGGATCCTGGAAGAGAGGTGGAGCTCTCTTTTTATCTGATACAAAGGAATGTGTCATTGCCAAGGCTGGAGTTTAAAGACAAAACCAGGAATTGTTATTATATAGTTACCACTCTTGCGTTTTTTTGCAGCTCCTTCTGTAGTTAGAGAGCTTGGGAATATGTTGTTAATGGGTAACTTGGGATCAAACAGGTTTTTATTTTCTGTTCTCCTTCTGTTCTTAGAATCTGTCAGAGAAGTGTGACACTGAATATAATTAAAAAGAAACCTTTACAACAGACTAATTAAAACTGTAAAATACTGGTAAAAATCTGTGAATAAAATGTTGCCATTTCCTTTACTAGTTTGCTAATAGAAGTAAATGAATGAAGGCACCTTTGCAAATTCAAAAAGTCAATTAGGGAGAAAAGCAAGAAAAATTAGACCTTGCATGTTCAGACATAAGAATTTGGTTCATTTTTACAGTAGCTGCTAGAAGTTTCACTTCCCACTTCTCAATGAGTCCCCATTGACTACTTTTATTGTTCATTAAATAGTTATTCACGAATGCAAGAGCTGAATACTTTTCTTCAATTGAAAGTATGTGAGAATATTTTTCTGTTTTCTTTCAGTTATACCAAAATTTTGATAGTTTGCAAGCTGAATCAGTTCATTCCACACTAAACAGAGCAGCCAGTCTGCTTGCTTTGTTCAGTAAATCAACACTTTGTGGCTGGATTACCCTCCTGAAATGGGAAGAGTATCTAAGTGAAGGTGAATTGTTTCCTCCAAAATAAAAGCCCTGCTCTGCAGCTAAGCACAAAATATGGCCAGGTTGCAGATTATGCAACCAGAAGCCAGTTTCAGATCTAGGCTACACGAGTCTTCCCAGGCTGATACAGCTCATTCTGCTTGCAGCTCTGCAAATATCCAGATCCATAGATGGAGCAACTCAACTTACCAGTCTCTTATCAAGATTGTCTCACAGGCCACACGAGTCTGTGTATGCAGTGAGGCTTGGTAGCACTTACACAGCATCAGTGCTGCCATGGCACCCACCACCATCGCCCTGGCCACTGCTGTACTTCCAGTCAGGAATGTGCCTCATGCTGTACTTGGGCCCTTCTAGCAAAATGCTGAATTCCACACCTGACACCTGCAGCCAGACACTTAAACTCAGTTTTATCCGTTTGTGGTGGCTAACCTTTTTATCAGCAGAAAAATCTGACAAAAAATGTTTTTCCCATTAAATAATATCTTTCAATAGTTTAAATAATTACTCGCATTCAAGTAACTAAAAAAAAGGAAATTGGAATGGAAATTATTTTGATCATTCAAATCCTCTGAAACAGGTTGCCCAGAGAAGTTGTGGATGCCCTATTCCTGAAACTGTTCAAGGCCAAGCTGGAGGGGGTTTGGAGCAACCTGGTCTAGTGGAAGGTGTTCCTGCCTGTGGCAGAGGGGTGGAAGTGGATGATTTTAAGGTCTCTTCCAAACTAAACCATTGGTTGTATGATTCCATAAAGTACACATGCAATGTCTCTTACTTTACTCTCTATTTAGAACAGATATACTACTCTAAAGATACATTCTATAGTAAATATACCTGAAGTATACCTATTTCTTTTAAGAGTGTTTCGATTATAATCTGTGTCAGGGTGTAAATTGGATCCATTCTTGTTTTAGAATGTGGGTATAGGGATTGCTGCAAGGGATTGCTGCAAATGTGTTGCAGCAATGTGTTACATGGACAGCTGGATGAAAAGGACCACCTGGTAACAGGGGACATGTATACTCTCTGCTTCTGGCACTCAGCCCATGTGCTCAACAGTGCCCCTTTCTGTCTCAGGTGGCCATATGAGGAGTGGGACTTCTCACTGAGCTCCTCTGAGCCACATGGAAGTAAGAAGCTTGAAATAGTTGTAAGGTAAGTGTGCCTGTGTGTGTGTGCTTGTGTGTGTACATGAACCAGAGCCACCCACCTTGATTGTGACAGATGAGGGCAAGAACCTTTGCACCATTTGGGTACCGTGGCTCTCCCATCAGCCTGGACCTCCCAGGCAAGTGGTCCCTTGCTCAGGGATGCCAGAGAAGGCAGATTTTGCTGTTTCCTGAACTGCTGCTGCCCTATGGCAAGTTTCCCTCTGCTGTCGTCAGCAGAAGCATCACTATCTGCTGGGAACTTGAAAGTAATTTATAAAATACATAGAATTCTAAACAAATCAAGGTGTCATTCTCATACTTAGAAATGTTTTTATTAAATATTTTAAACTTCTGTATGAGACAAATAATATTGGTGGCTTTGTGCAACACAGTGGCATGTAAAACAAAAACAATTTAATGTGCAAGAGAATACAGTATTAAGTTACCCCTCATATTAGCCACTGACCAGAATGACTGCACATGGAAGAGTCACTTAGAGAATTGCAAGCACAGTGCTTCCCCAAGCAGAGGTTATGAAAGCCCGTTTCAAACAATCTGGCTTCAAAACCAGAAGGAGGACAAACTATTTGGTCTGGTGACCCAATCACTTACAAATGTCACCATTTGCTTCCAGGACATCAACTCTTCACAGTGCATTGCATTGCTAAGTAAATGTTTACCTGGAAACAACACAGTTACCCTTTTATGAAAACTCCCGATTCTTAAAATTTTTTTCTTTTACTTTCCTCACTGTCAAAGCTTCCTTCCACATTTTAAAAAGTGGATTTATGATGAATACTTCAAGTTTCCATTAATGGAAATCTCAGATGTAGCAATAAGGCCTGCACGGTCATTTTTTTTCTCACAGCGATTTCTGATGGCTTTGTAGATGGCAAAAGTAGGGATGGTCAAACTAGGCACTCCGGCAAGGACCACAATAACAGCATACACCCAAGGGGGATATTCGAGCTTCTTCGTTTTGGGGAACTCCTCCTGAAAGAGCAAACAATCAAGATGTAGAAAGTTGTGAAGAGTAAATACATGGGACACATTCAATAATTCGCATTCAATAATTCAATGGAACAACAATGTAATTGGAACAGTAGCTGGCCACAATGGCACAACAATTTGCCAATTCCACAGCAGCTTTCAGATCAAGGGTTTCCAGTCTCAGCTGTTTTGGAACTATTTTTACCTAAAATTGATGGAAAGAAGATGACATGAAGGAAGCAAGTTTGATGGTCAAACAGCCTTTGGGTGGGAAGGCTGAAATCAAAGGGTGAAGGAGAGTTGAAACTTTATTAAGAAGGAAGTGAGGTTGTCAAGGAGGAGAGACGAAAGCATTCCCATTTCCCCATCTTCTTTTCTCTCCCTTTCTGTGTCTGCCCTAAGAAAATTAAAATTATCTTTACAAATTAAGTGTGCGGCATGACTGTTTCTGCTTTGAAGATGGTGACTGGTATAAGGTCATAGAACAGAAAGCAGAGCTAGACAGGCAGAGAAAAGGTGGGTTGACCAAGACAATGATGGGACTCACATTTTTTCTAATACTCCTTTCTCTGTACCACATACAGCTTTTTGTTTTGCAAGGGAAGGAAAGGAAAAGTAGGTAACTTATTGCTGCAATCATAAGCTAAATCAAATGAAAACATTTGGAAGAGGAAAGGAGATATCTGAATATTCATATTAATTTCTTCTGTCAGTGATGAGTAACCAGCACTACTGCTGTTCTGTGATTTTAAATGCAAGCAGAAAGAAATGCCATATCAAAGGCTTCAAAAATTTGGTCCTTTGTCAACGTGGAAAGGTTGTGACATTTCCAGATCTTCTATAATCCCTGCTGGGGAACTGATATCTGTTTCAGACCTGCATGAAAACTGGACAAGTGTTTTGGTTTTATCCGCTTCGGAAAAGCTATTCAGGTATCATTATATATCAGTTGCAGGTATTACAGCTGAATTTAGGACTTATTTTTCTAAGTGTTATTTTTTAATATTACTTTTTCTCATAGTATGTTTCAATTAGAAAAGTGTTTCAGGTGGGAGATGAATATATCTGATCAAGACTTTTACATTAAAGAAGAATACATAATTATTAAAAACTATTTTGGTTTATATACTTACATAGTTAGGGTCCCAAACACTGTAAAACAGTTCTTTGCTGACATTCACCACAAGATAAAAGATGAAGATAACTAACATAATGAGAGGACTAATTAGTCTCCAGGTAATCTGCCAGAAAATATTGGGCTTGTGTCCAGTCATGAACTCAATATCCCTGTTAAACCTAGAAACAAAAACAGGAAGTTCAGGACTGTAAAAACTGGTGAGGATCAAAGAGTGCCTGCTCATAAACAGAAAAGTCCAAACTACCCCTAGCTGTGTGTCAGGGATTGAAATGGTTAATGATTTATGCATTCTAGGAGACTCTTGCAGAATTTTGACTTTTGCATTATACCTCGGATGGATAGTTGGGCCTGTCCCTCCCTCCAGTGAAGAACCAAGTTTGCAGGCTTTTGACTGTTGCATTATACCTCTGATGGCCCATCAAAGCCTATCCCTTCCTCTGCCAATCTAAAAAGGCAGGAACCAGACCAGACACAAAAAAACCCCTCTGCACAGGGCCCAGGGATAGGTTGAAGGCTCGAGGCATGGCCCGTGACGCTAACCATGGATATAATAACTCATAACTTTTTGGACTGTGGGGGCTTCCCTCCTTCACCCCCAGCAGATCAAGGCCACCACTTCAACTGACAGACATGGAAGCTGCAACTACCAAGTTTCATCACTGGACCCCATGGGCGGTGACTATATACATCTGTCCATTCTCAGCTTTTCTTTCCCTTACTCTCCCTTAGCCTTATCCTGTCTTTCCTGTCTCTCCCTTATGTATTTCCCCCCAGGGGTTATCCCTATGATATATAATATAGATGACAACACCCAAAATGCTAACATACCTGTTAAAACAAAATTGTTAAAATAAACCCTACCTATATATGTTTTCAGACACCGATTATTCAGTGTCATTTCACTCTAATCCACCTCAAGGGAATTATTGATAAGAACCTGGGTTACTCCCCTCCCCTTTTTCTGGGGCGGGTCGTAACACTGTGCTTCCCAGGACTTTGCTAATGTCAATGCGAAACTGGAATTGTCAACAACATCAGGAGTTAAATCTGAGTAGTTCAATTTAAGCACATATAATTACAAGTCAGGAAAATTATTTTGGGAAATGTACTATCTTCTAGAAGTCTGTGAGGCATATGCAAAATAGTTTCAACAGGTAAGAGTCAATGCAGATGAACTTTCCCTAAAACATATTGTTGTATTGCTTCACAACTTCTTGGTAAGTGTCTCGTTGCTGTATAAATTAAAAGGAATGACACAATATTAAAAAAGAACAAAAGCATATTGAGTAATTTTACTAATTAGATTCTGTACATAATATTAGCTTAATTTGGATTTCTACCAGTTTTCTCAGGTTGAGTACTGAAACAATATTTAACTTCCCACATTATCAAGAACATCTAAAAATGTATTATTTGGACTATTCAAAGAATGTGCAGTGGACAATGGGGAAAAATACTTCTACAAGAAGAAACAATTCCTGCATTGAGAGTGATACTATCTGCATCAGTCCTGCACCAATTTATGACTTCCCCATAAGATGCAACACCTTGTGCACACACTTCTTAAAAAGTAGTTAGTTTGGAAGTTTGGGGTTCTACTCTTAGTCCTCTTGTCTGGCTTTCCCGTGTATCTTGTGGGGATAAGCCTGAGGGGGCTATTCACTTGGTCCTTCAGCTATGAACAACACACTGAATTCAGCAAAGCCTCAAATAAATTTGTTTCATCTTTTCATCCCTAACTTCTTAGATCTAGGTATCCTAAAATGATATGGAGCCCCACATCCCGACTTCAGGGCATGTCCAGGTGTAGTTCCTGTGAGTGCCATGGATAACACACGTTATCCTTCAAGCAAGAGATCTATCTTTTTACCAATGCCCCTTTCTCAGAAAAAGGTCACAGAAACTCATCTGGAGCATTTCTGGGCAGCTCCAATAAGCTCTGTTCTCAAAGAGGGCTACAGTGATGTGTACTGGCCAGGAACATTAAAGTTTGGTGTGAAGCTCTGTTCTGAATGAACCCCCACCCCTTTTTAAAGTCAGCCTACATTTGTGTCCTGGGAATAGTTTTAATTTTACTTTGTAAAGTGTTCTGAGATCTTAAAGGTAAGGAAAAGTGGTCAACACAGACTTTTCTGTCCTTAACAAATTAAAATAAGCCTTCTTTCTCAAGGATACTCTGTCTAATTTATCCAAGCTGATTCATGCCGACTCAGGTAATATAAATCTTTAAGTATGGGAAGACTGACCACAAGGGCATTCACCCCATTGCCAGGAGTGAATCACCTATGGGTGATTGAATTCCCCGTGCCCTTTTTCATATTTCTTACATATTAATTATAAACATAAAGATGTTGAAATTTGATTTATTACATCTCTGGAAAGTTAAGAGGATAATTACTCACTGCTACAACTGATAAAGTCCTGAGTCTATCAGCTAAGAATGTAGTCTTGGATTTGCATCCTGCTGTAAAACAGTATCTGCAGCCTGTATTGGACAGTATCATTTAGCATTCGCTGTAAACACTCATGGGATATACCTCTGTTTTAAACTTTGAGCTCAGTGCACTTGTACTTTGTTTCTGCTAACTAAATATTTAATATAATTATCCTGAAGAAGAGTTATTGTAAATATCACCATATTTAAAATGTAAGTGAGCTACAGCAGCTCTTATGTAACTTGCAAACACCCACATTCTGATGCCTACTTTAAATATAAATTATTTGCACTCATATTATTACACTCTAGTGCACTTATTAATGCCTAATATTTTCTTACAATATCTTAGTCATATGTTTATTTGAGCTGGTTGCTAAAGAGCATTATTTATTATAATGTATTAATAAAGTGGAGAAGTTTCTGGTACAAATTCCTAATTAATATTTTTTCTTTTTGTTGAGAACTATTTAACAAAGCTAAAACATATAAGAAAGCCTAAACTACAGTTGCATTATCTCAGTGATTTCTATAACAGAAATGCTATGCACGGAGATGCAGCAAGACTGTAGTTATGCAACTAATCACTTTATACACTGCTATCTAATAATGTTTAAGCTGTATTTCATACCTGTCTATTCCATAAATGTAGACGACTGCAAACATCTCACAAAATGCAATTATCAGCAAGGGAATAGAGCCAGCATAACCGTCAAATAGAGTCAGCCAGTAATTACCAGAATTCAGCACAAAAATAAAAGCTATCAAATAACACACCAAACAAATGAGACCTGTGGGGAAAAAAAACAAAACAACAAAACAACAGGATACTTAGGCAAAGAAAGTAAAAGCAAAAAGAAAATAACAACAACAACAATAATAATAATAATGTATTTTCCCAGTAATTATAAAGTTTAATAAGTAATTCTTGCAGCCTGAAGGTCACCACTTTATTTTTTAATGGCACTCTGAGAAGGCCTGCTTCTATGCAGGTAAAATGGCAAAACTGTCCTAACATTGCACAGGTGGGAGATGCTACAAACAGAAGGGGAGAAAGCTGAGGAGGGACAACAGGTCTTCTTCCTCCTTCTTGGTGGGACACTGTTGCTCTGAGAGAAAACCTGCCCGGGTGAAGGACTCCAGCTTCCCAATGGAGGAGATGGACAGTCATCATGAGCAAGCTGATGGGCAAGCCAAAGGGCGAACAGCTGCCTGCAGGCTCAAAAGGAACCTCTCAGGAGCTGCCCCACTGGGGGACATGAGAAAGTCTTCAGTAGGTTGTCTGGGTGTCTTAGGACCATTCCAGATCAGAAAGTAGATGGGTGGTGAGTTGTTTTTTCAGCATAAAAGCTGTTCCCTGGGGAAGTCACTTGTCTTTAAAAGGCACTTACCAGTAACAACTTCCTTAGGCACTCTGGAGGGTATAATCTTAAGATCTTGTAAAGGTACAAGCACACCTTCTATATTTCCAAACATAGATGACAAACCCAAGCAGAAAAGCATGATGAAGAAGAGAATGGACCACAAAGGTGAGATGGGCATTTTGGTGATAGCTTCAGTGAAGACAATAAAGGCTAAGCCAGTTCCTTCAGCTCCCTGTGGAAGATTGAAGCTCCTTAACATCATGCAGCACTTAAATTTTTATTGGCATTCATTAGACTTGATGTATGCTACACATACCGTAGTACTTACACTTTTTGTTTCCACAAAGACCTCCTAATGCAGGGATATATTTACTGTAATATAATACAAAATCTATTTAATATTCTTTTTTATGGAATTTCATGGACATCTATTTTCATCTGTAACTCACCACCTTTTTAACCTCTCTCTGGGTGTCTCTTCCCCAGTCATCTTGTCCCACCACAGCTGTAACCAGCTAGTTTCAGAGAAAGACCTGCTGCTATTTTGCCAGCTACCTGAGGCCAGCCTAGAACACTGTGACAGACCATCGATACTTTTCAGGAGAATTAAATAGTTTATCTCTTCACAAGAAAAAGGGGGCAAACAAAAGTAATTCTTCAGTCCAAGAGCATTCCAAGCCAACTGTAATCCATCAGCAGAAATATAAAAAACCCCAATAACCTCAGAAAAAAAAACATTTTGCAATTAAATAATTACTACGCATTCATACCATATTTAAGGTATCAATATGAGTTGGGTGTTAAACTTACATCATTCAGGAAAGTTTCCAGATCACAGGTTTCAAACTTCAGGCTTGCAAAAGTTGCCGGATCAGTCATGTTACACAGCTGCTGCATTTGTTCAAAATTATCTTGGGTTACATTACCTTCTGGCAAATCAAATGCATTCATCAGAGTAAGAATATTTCTGAAAAAGTGAAATGCAAGTAATTTGAAATTATTTATTTTTAAACATCCTCATTTTCATCATCAAGCAAGTTACTAAGAGCACATTATCAAGGTCAGATTTTGAAATTCCAGTAGATGTGCACATGCAAGTCTTTCTTTCTTCTTCCAAGGTAAGTCTGATGCTGTCTTTCATGGTAAAGATGATTACTAAATGGATGGACACTCTAGGAACCTGTGCAGGAATTAGGTGTCTATCTTTACATTGCAGACTGGGCACCAGTTCCCAGACTGGGCAGCTTCTGGGAATGTCTAAGTTGTCCGCAGTTACAAATCATGCACTTTTGTAGTTGAATGTGGAGGGTCTAGACTGGAACCCACATAGTCTTACAATTCCGGTTAGAAAAGAGTCTGGTTGCCCTGGTAAAATGAGGTAATTCTGATGAGACCTACGCATTTAAGCTTAGAGGAAACCTAAATACAGAGCTGACACAGGCCCCAGGGAATATTTCTTTCATGCCATATGTCAGCATGGGGAATAATGTCAATTATAGTTCCTTATGCAACATTTAAGTAGGAGATCAGGTGGCTCAAACAATTATCGCTTTCTAAGGGATTTATTCCATGATTCAAAATTTGTTAAGTAATGAGTAGTTCCAATACCATATGGGTCAAGCCCTACAATAATTCAGAAATGATAAATCCATTATAACCAGGTTAACAGAGCTGACTCAGCCAAACAAACACCTGCATATTCTGAGGGGGCTTTTTCTAATAACTTACGTGTCAAAACAGTCATCATATCTTTCTGTGGCTCTGAATCCAATGATGGAGTATATGACAGTTGCTGCATAGATGGAAGTGAAACCGTTGATCACTGAGACAATCACAGCATCTTTCTCACAGTTATTGCTGCAATTCAAAGAAAAAAAACCAATGGATTTCAAACACATTCCCAAACCAAATACTAAAACTGGCTACTAAGACTAAGAAAAGAGTAGCCTATGGACGCACAGGTACATCAGTGTACCTTCTAAGAGCAGACAAGTACTGCTGTTAAAGATAGATTTAGTAAATTAAAAATTGGTGTTTTAAACAATTTAATAGCTATGGCTTTGGGGTTTGGTTTTTTTTTTTTTTGGTGGTTTTTTACCCTTCAAATAATCCTATTCATAAGGAATAACTGCCTGAGTTGTTTTCATATCTGAGTCACAGGATGTAAAGTATGAGAGGCAAAAGAATATGTCTCCTCCTTTTCAAACTTGGCATGCATGTGTGCAGACACATATTGCCATGGGCTGTATCTGCATTGCTAGTGTATTCTGCTGCAAGGTGAAAGACTTGGATTTGAATTAGATAGCCAAAAAGGAAAAGTGAATGAAAGTTTCCATAGCACTTAGATATGGTGAAATTGCAGTAGCCAAGAGCACTTGGGACAGTATTGTTTGACTGTTGAACAAAAGATGGTTCAAAATATCCTGAAGTTTTGGAAACACAGTGGAACTATATGCTGATAAGGTTGGACAGAAAAGCTGCTTGTAGAAACTTCTCTGCTGCAGGTACTTCTTGCCAGCATGTCTGTGCTAAGACAAAAATTGCGGAGCTAGAAACAGACCTTCGTCTGAGGGACAAGATAAAACATCAACATTAAGTTAGTTTATGGTTTTATGAGAAGACTGTAAAACTGTAGATACTTTATTCCTTCTGGACAAAATAGGACTATTGAAATTAACTTGATGTTGTCTTATTTAATTTTCTGAACACCTTCAAGGTGTTCAGGACAAGCCTGTCCAGCCAAGACCTGTCACACTCTGTCCTTTACCCATTTATAGCATTGCAAATAGGTTTTTACCGGGTGTAGGGCATTGAATGAAAATTTCCTGCTGTAGTCTCATGTCTATTTTTGAATTGTAACATGAGAGTCTCAATGACAGACTTGATAAAAGCATTTATTCCTTTTAGAGAAAATAAGATGCTCAAGCTCCTTCTCATTATGAATTAGTGAATCCTTGATGGCATCGAAACCTTTTAGTATTTTCTGAGATTTTTATACTCCCAAACCACTGACACCCGGTCCAGCTGGTGCTAGACTGCAAGTGGTCCAACACCACAGTGTAACACTGTGAAATTTGCATGTTTTGGGGTTTTTTTTCCCTTACATTTCCTTGGGAGTATAATGACTTTCTGCAGTTTCCTCCTTAAGTCATGAATGATTGAGCATTGAAGAAGGATGGCCAGGTGCCAAACCCCTCTGTGTTGGTAAAGCAGGAGGACATTGTTCCTTTCCTTTGTGCCTTTTTGGAAAGATGAAGAACACTCTCAGTCCTGCTCCCCATGGTTGCGGGACACTGACTTGGACCTGAAGCAGGGCTTCATGCCTTGCACAGAGACTTTCAGGCACCAAAAATTCCAGATGATCTCTTCAAAAACATCTGAAATCAAGAGTGGAGGGAGGGAACTACTTTGGTAGCTGAAATTCTGCTGCGGTGTAATTGAACCCAAGCTAAAACTGAAACACAGATTTCTGAAAGCATGATCAAACCACATACCCAAAATATAATTCAGAGACATTTATCAAAAATATTAGGTTTAGAGAATGTCACACAGTTTGCCTTTCAAGAGGACAGACAGTGCTGAAGGAATAGCAGGCACCAAGAAGCATTGGTGGCTTCTCCAGTATTTTGTGAGACAGAGTGTAGAATATAGCACTGCATCATACTTTACAGGATGGGTCAGTCCCTGGATGATGGGAGTTCACACTACCTGGCCTCACTAATCATATATAAAGGCACTGAATTTGAATTTTGAAACTAGATATATCTTCTCATCTCAAAGCTAAGGATTTAAACTGTTCTGTGTGAGTTGCTTTGAAATGTGTGTACTATCATCCTACTCTGACAACACTGAGACCAAGGTCATCACCGTGCACTGAGCACTCCCACAGAGGAAACTTCTGCTCATCAGCTGGGGGTGGATAGTCAGTCCCCTTCTTTCTATCCTGCACCACTACATCTTTCTATAGGAAGTCAGCCAGCACTGGGACCTGAAGTCTTATCTCAGGAGAGTTAGGATCAGTCAGAGGAGATACATCTTACACATCTGAGGGGATGTTGTCCCAGTTCCAAGTAGCATAACAATAGGGCAAAAGTAGAGATGTTTCATTTGGAAGAATGAAATATTCATATAAAATTTGGCTTTTGCCTGGCTACTTACTGAACAGAGTTGTAACTGGAGAATGAAATGAGGCCTCCAAATGCCAGGGAGAAAGAATAAAACACCTGAGCACCCGCATCCAGCCATGTCAGTGGGTTCGCCAGCTCAGTGACCTGAAGCATCAGACATACAGCTTTAAGCATATCCAATATTGCTATTTAAACTGAGTATGAGACATTCAAAACAATCATTAAAACAAGAATATTAACCATGCAAAACTCACTGGATTTCAACAGGTACGTCAATACTTTTGTCAAACTTACCTTTTTCTTCCGAAAGAAAAACCTATCTGTAGTTTTTATACAAGTATTTTGAAAATTGATTAAAAAATTACTTTGCACAGCTGACAGCTGCCATGTCTGTTTTCAGAAAAGGTGTTTAATATTTAGCACTAATAATAATCATTCAGGGGTCTGCTCATGGAAAATGAAACCCCTTTTAATTTTGTTCAAAAACTGTTGTATAGTTAAACCATTCTTTTTGGTCTTTTGTCCATGTAGCCATTAGATTAGTTCTACTCCCAAATACAAGATTTATGCTTTAATTTTAGACCTGTTTGTAATTAGAATACAGGAAAAGAAATCAAGTTACATAATGGTAACCCAGTTTCTCTGTGATGACCCTTCAATTTTTTATAACAGATTTTGATGGAGGATGGAGAGTGAGAAAGATAGAGAGAAAATGTCTGTGTATATGTACACTTGTTCCATCCAATCCAAAGGGTTCGCCTCCCAGAATCAAGATTTTCAAGGTGTCTCAGGGATAGTTAAAAAAGCACCAGTGGAGAGAACTAATTTTCAGTTGGTTGTTAATTACAGAGAGAACTACATTGTGTTTCACTGATGGGCGAACCACGCAGCGACTTACATTAGGGGTGAAGAGATACACAATTCCATTGGTTGATCCTTTCAACGTCAAGCCACGGATTAGGAAAATGGTAAGCACAACATATGGAAGAGTTGAAGTTATATACACAGCCTGTACAAAAAGAATGTAAATAAAACACTCAAATAAAACAGAACATTTGAACAAAAATTGCATTGCAGGGAAGAGGAGAGTAAACAAGGTATGGTGATTAGCAATAAGGGCAAGTTTCAAGTGATTCACAATTAGCATATTATAGGAAGTGTTCAAATGAAACAGTATGTGTGGTATATTTTGACAACAAACATTTTTGCAGCAGTAGTGTTCTATTTAAGACAAGTTGTCTTTGTTGAAATTCAACTCAGGTCATTCAAAAGCAGTATCAAAAATATCTACACCCTGAGACCAGGCTGATGCAAGGATGCAAGGATGGACTCTTAGGGCTTTGCTGGGCAGCAGAACATTGGTCACTCTTTCAAGGAGATAATATTTAGGAGTAGCACAAACCCAAATAAATCTGTATATGTACATTTTGAAGAGAATGGCATAACAAAAAGAGAGTCCCTTGGTCCTGCATTAAAGATTAATATTAATGTTAAGGTTATAATACCTAAAGAATGTTTTACTAAGACCTGTAAGGACAAGGAAGACAAACTGTTCACATAAATCAATCAGATTCCATTTCATTCATCTTCTTTCTTCAAAAAGCAGTCCCAGTGATGGCACACAAAGTTTTAGATATGCTTTTACTCAAGAAACAGTTTCTACAGTATTATTAGGTCTGTATAAATAAGGAATCACAACAGCATGATTAATATAATCTCATAAAAGACCTCCAAAATAACTTACCTTTCCTGTTGTTTCGATGCCTCTGATTGTGCACACATACAGTACACCCCATGCACACGTCAAACACAGCAAAAGCCACCACTGTATACTGCCAGAATCCTCAATGGAAGTGGAGATATTTAATGTTTCTCTGTACCAGAAGTAATCTACAGGAGAGCTCTTAGCACACTCTTCTACATAATCTGTAACAACAAAATGGTCGTCATTCTGTATGTCTTTTATTTACTTGGAAAAAAGCAAGCTAAACGATAAATATCAGTGATCTAAATTGTATCGCCTAATGCCAACTAATTTGTTATTGGCAGATTTCAGATTTTTAGAGGCTGGTTTCATGGTAAAATGAGAGATTCAAAAGAGAATTGTTTAACAGGGATTTTAATAAGGCAGCTTTTCCTCTCCCACACCTCCTTTCTCTCCCATACCTCCTTCAGATCATCAATATTTTGTCTTTCTGTTTTGTGGGACATCCTTTAAGGTCTTGTTAGCTCAAGTTGGATTCTCAGCTCCCTGCAATGTGCTGACCTGTGCAATATTCTGCCCTGGTCTTCCCTTAAATGAGGATTTTCATACTTATTCTGGGAGGAGAGGAGCAAAGTGCTCTGAACAGCTGTTCACTGACCCACTGGAAAAACCTGCTTCATACAGTTTCATGCAGGGCTGACTATGGAAAACCAAGCAGTCTCCACGGAGCATATTGAGGGATACAGGTGTTTCATATGAATTATGCAACTCCTTTTTTTCTTTCCTTTTCAGTATGCTAATGGAGGGCTGTTGGTGAAGAGATGAATGAAACATATTGCCTAAATCTGGAAAATCATAGAATCATAGAATCAGCTGGGTTGGAAGGGACCTCCGAGATCATCAAGTCCAACCCTTGATCCACTACCGCTGTGGTTGCTAGACCATGGCAATAAGTGCCACATCCAGTCTTATCTTAAAAATCTGAATGCTTATGTTAGACTTCCACTTTGTGAATATTCTGTGTACGAATACATCTGTCACAATCAACCATGCAGCTTCATATAAAAAGTCAAAGTTTGTCTGAAAGATTAAAAGTTGATCTCATTTTATGCAATGCGAATTTTTACAAAACGCAAGCATCAAAATATCACAATGTGCCTGACAGGACTGCCATGCCTTACTGCTGTCTTACAGAAAGAGGTTAAATTAGGGTAATTGTTAGAAACAGAAGTATGTGCTGTGCAACAAAATACTATATTTCATAAAATATACCTGTTCTGTTTTCATTGAGAGGACAGTTATTCCAAGGCAGGGGCTCTTGGAAGGAGTTGAAGAAATACCACATCACACAGGCAATAATAGTATTATAATATAAACCCACCAGGAAGGAAACAAACATTGATGCTATGCCTGAAAAAAATAAAATCAGAATACAATGTAAATTTCAACAGTCTTGTCTTCAACACATATCAAAGTATATGGTATAAGCCTCAACCATTCCCTCCTCCCCTCCTCACCCTAATTCTATGGTTTATAGCCTTTCCTCTCTCCTCTCTTTATTTTGGATGTAGGTTTAATCACTGTGAATTTTTTACCTAAAGTTTGGACAAATGAGTCCTATGCAGATGTATATCCTAAAACTGCTCTGAGACTGAAGCTGACTCCCACTTAGGACTCAACATTGTGAGCAGACTGACTATCTACAGACACCACGCAGTCCTGTTCACAGTCTTGCCAGCTGATATTGAAGGAGTTTGGGATGCTGGGTACATGTAAAGCTCAGCTGACTTGGGATTTGCCTAAATGAGACCAGATAGTCTTCTTCTTCCACAATGTCACTGCAGAGTTTGCTCAGCTGACTTGAGATTTTGCCTAAATGAGACCCAATAGTCTTCTTCTTCCACAGTGTCACTGCAGAGTTCAGCAAAGGGGGTGTTGTATAGGATGGATGGCTGCCAGGACGAACAGTCTGTGACAAGGTGCAGGTATCTCTCCTTCTCCACTTGTTCCCAAGTAATCAGCCTCTGGTGACTTTTCTGGCAGACAGTAAATGCTAATGATTAGCTCCTGAGAACTCTTAGGTTCTAAATAAACTTGAAAAATTCCTGATGCAATGAATAATTTTCTTTTGTAACTGATTTACAGATGTAGGGGGTGACGAAACAATTCTAACTGTCCGTGTTTCTTCCCTTTCAAGTGTGTGGTTGAGGTTGGCAGGGATCTCTGGAGGTCATGTGGTGCAATCCTCTTCTCAAGCAGGGCCACATAGAGCTGGCTGCCCAGTACCATGTCCAGGTAGACTTCTAATATCTCTGAGGCTGGAGACCCCACAACATCCCTGGGCAACCTGTGCCAGTGTTTTCACATTCTCAAAGTGTTTCCTGATGTTCATGTGGCACCTTCTGTGTTTTCTGTGTAATGAGGTATCTGTATAATTTCTTATGTTGTGTGCATAATGCTGCTTCTACTACAGTACCATACTCAGAAGTCTGGTACAGATGTGAAGAAGTATTTTCTGCAAAATACTGCTTCTGTGGCTTCTGGTACCTCTCAGAATCAAGAAGGTAACATTAGATGGAGCAGAGGTCCACCAGATAAATATTCAACTATTATTTATCCACACAACAGCTACAGAATAGTTTTTGGCACACTTAACAGCCAATATCAATAACACGGAAAATATCTCTGAGGCCTGAAACGGGTCTGAAATTAAAGACATGTTTTAACTGGGCCTGTAGTACTTAGGAACACAGACACAAAACTGTCATGACTAGTTTGATCTATCAATGAAGAGTCAGCAAGAAGGGAAAAGTAATAAATCTTGGAATCTCTCATGGCATGCCAGAATAAAATCTTGAAGATTTGCTCCACAGATGATAATTTCAGAGATTTGTTCTTTCTCAGGTGGCTTTTTGTATCCTCATCAGACTTACCAACTCCTTTCAGGGTAGGGTGGATAGAGCTCCATACGCCCACACTGCCTTTCCTCAGCCTTTGACCAATGGCAAACTCAAGATGAAGCAGGGGGATACCCTCCAGGACTAGCAAAATCAGGAAAGGGATCATGAAGGCTCCTGGAATGGATAAGAAAAGTAATGATTCTGATCAGTGAAGTGCTACAACAAAACACAAACATCAGGTTTGTGAGATGTTGATATAGTGAGTTGTAAGCATCATTGCGGAAACCCTTCTCTGTTCTCTGAGCAATGTTTCTGCCTGATTGCCCAAGCAGGGGACTTCATTACATATGTGGTTTCAGGTAGGAAGTTTTATTCTTCCCAGGGGACAAACGTAAACAGAAATTATATAGTCTCAAGGTTAAACTTCGAAAAAGTTTATTGCAAGTGGAGGAAAGGTAATTACTTTCCTGGAATGACTTCCTTTTTTTTCTTTTACCTGCAAAATTGCTTTTATGTTTGATTAGAAGAGATCTAAGTACAGGGTTCAAACATTGTTGATTATGAGAAAGCTGGTTACTATAGGACAAGTATTTTAAATAACTTTTTCCTGAGAAGGAAAAAGCAGAGATAACGTAGAACACCATACTGGACTACCAAAGTGCAGAATCAAATGCTTGAATATAGCTATTAATAGAACTATGTATTGCATATGTATTATATATAGCTAATAATAGAATTATGGTTACCTGTCATTGCAAAATGTCTTTAACTTCACAATTTAAATAGGAGTAAAAAATCTGAATGCATTAAAGAAATCGCAGACCAGTGTGTGAATGGTTCAGGTCTGGGAATTTCCTGACTTCTTCCTCGTATATGCTATGAAAATCAAATAGCAATTTAAAGAGGAAATTTGGAGTATGAAAACCATGCCAGAAGCTGAAATTTACTTCCTGATGATTCCAGGGTAGCAAGAAAGCTGGGAAGCCATTAGCACACAGCACACCTTTTCCACTTTCTTCCGTTCCTATTTTTATGTCTGTGCAAGGACCGTCATGGAGTCCCTTCATCTGACTGCTCTGTCATAGATATGTTATGCTTGAAGACTTCTTCTATAAAGGTACCTTTGTAAGTATCTTGAGGCCTCAGGAAATGCCCTAAGGCTGACAGAGCACTCTTGGCCCTTCCACTGCAGAGGGTAGTTCAATTCTGAGAGTCTTGCAGTGAATTTTACCCACTGTGCTGTTGACAGGGAGAGTTACGGTGTAGGGACTGTGCTGTTGCTGAACCTTGCTGTCTTGGAGAATAAGCCATGATGTCTACCCAGACTGGTAGAACTGTGTGAGCGGAGGTGTACTTTGCAGTTAAGGTTTGCAAGAAAGTCTCAAGCGCGAGAAAAATGAAGCCCAAATCAGAATATCAATCTGCCTGCTGTCTACTGAAAGCAAAAAGTTCAGACTACCTTTGAACGCTTTCTAATGCTGTGTTGGAAATGGTCTGATCTTTTCCCCCTTCTGCTAACAGAGATAGCAGCTATCAAAACATATTTTCTTTGAAAGCTATGATAAGAAACAAGTGGTTGTAGCTTGAATAGAATACAAAGGCTGTGTATTTCTTTACTCAACAAGATCTTTCACTAGGGAGATAATTTCTAATCAAGTCCTTAAGTGATCTTACTGTGACCTGATAAAAAAAAAAAAGTGACATCTCTCCATGAGGAGCACGTTACCAGAACTAACTGAAAATCCATTCTTAAGTTCCAAGAGATTATCTGAAATTACTAGAAGTTGAGTTTCAAAGGGTGACAAGGACTTATCCTCAGTGCAAATAAGGAGTATTTGAATAAGGTAGCTGTACAGATCCATCTTCTGGACTTAACTATTACTATTGCCAAAGAAGGGCTTCACCAGAGAGAAGTGAAATTGTGGTATGGCAGAGACCTATATGGCATCCAAAAGGGCAGGTAAAAGAAAAAGATCCAGATGAAGTAGTCATACAAACTCTTTAGGGAGTCTTTTAGAGAGAGAATGCTCTGGAACTTAAAAATGCTGGTATAAACACAATGATCATGTCCTTCTCTCATCTTACCCTCAGGAGAGCTCCTGGTCAGAGTGTGACAGGAAGGAAACTGTGTACCAGCCTAACATGGGGTTGGAGAACATGATGTATTTATGGCTGCCTGTAGTTCCTCACATTGACAAGTAACTTTGTCTTCGGAAAAGACCAGACATTCTGTGTATGGAGGTTGTCCTACCATGTAGGAAAGAAGCCATCAGGATTTAAGGGGGTGAAACACAACAGTGAGGGGGCACTCATTGCAAAAATCCTGATTTCTATGAAAGCAAGAATAAAACAGTTAGGAGAAGTGTTATTCAGAGAAAGAGGGTACAGTATTAGTAGTGAACAAACTATTTGAAGCCAAATCTACATGCACTGCTTATCTAACCAGATGAAGAGGGGCCTTCAGGTCCATACCAGAGCATGTTTCAGCACAGCTAAGCTAGTCCATAGAGACAAAACAGGACAAACCTTTAGAAACTGAAAGGACAGAGTGAGTTAGTTCCTTGCAGTGACTGAGTGTGACACAGTTTCAATGAGTCCCAGAACCTCTGCCAACACTGGGTAAGACCTTTGCATTGTCAACAATGGTACCAGGGCACAGGCAGATGAAGAGTCTACCACCATTTCTGGCATAGCTGCCTTTCAGCCACCAGTCAACAAAGTAAGGAGAGGGGGCTGCCCTGTTACATCTGACATTAGTAGCTCCTGCTATCTATAGTTTTGTAGAAGTCTCTGGAGTGGTGGGAAGAAAGAGGGAAGAACCTTGGTTTGGAAGTGAACTTAGTCCCTCAAAAACTGGAATATGCCCTATATGTTTCACAGGTTTGTGACATGAAAATATGTAGTCAGAAAGATATGAGTCAGAAACCCATTGCTTTAGCACTGACACCATTTGTAACAATATCTGAGCTAAGACCACAGTGCTAAATTTGAATTTGAAACTAGGAGAGTTCAGTTTCCTCAGAACTAGGGTGGATCACTATAATTGATTCTTTCTGACATTACAAAACAGCCACTTTTCTCCAAGGTGAAACATTACCAGCCTGAGGCTCCTAGATTTATCATGCTCCACATTAATGCAAGGCTTTTGTTCTTGCAAGGGCTATGAAAAGGGAATGTAGCTGAGATGTGAAAAGTGGGGAAGAAAACAAATAGAATACTGTTCTCCTTGGAGGTGATGTCTACATAATCCTTTTCCTGAAGTGGCAGACTGACACAGAAGAAAGAGAGGAATAGTCAGCAAAGTTTAGCAAACATCTCTGCAAATAACAATTCATAATGAGTTCCTCAGTCTGACTAACAAAAAGTATGTCCCAAGTCAGTTATTCTTCTGGCTTTCCTCTGAAACCTTTTCAGTTAGTCTATATTTTTACAATAATAGCTAGCTTTTAATGCCTGCAAGATGAACTACACTGATTTTAGTAAGAACTACACTTTTAGTAAGAAGGGGGGTTTTTTTGTTGCTAAACGACATGCTTTATAGAAGTCTGAGAATATTATGTCTGTACAGCTACCTTTGGCAAGTGGCTTCAATAAAATATATCTTTTCTAGTGCATTCATCGATCATTCAACCTGATGTCTGGTATCTCCCACAAAGGGTTCAGCATTTTGAGTAGCATTTTATGTATTCAAAACTGCTGATTTTGATTAGCAAACATTGAAAATGTCAATGAAAGACAAGTAAGTAACTATCATTACTTGAATTCCATAGGAGTAGAAAGCAAAAAGTGCAGTTGGCTGAGTTCATTATAATAGTGGCCACTTGATACCACGTTATTGTTTTTAGCAGACTTTATTGAAGTACCCAAAAAAATTAGACTTTGCAATAATGATTGTTTCAAAAAGTCTGGTATAGACAACATCAAAAAGATACCCCGTGGAGCAGGTGGGTCTCTGTCCACCCCTTTTGTTATCACAGACACGAGGTACATAATGTGCGTATAGACCTGCAGTGTAGAAACTATATCCACACACAAACAGACACAACAAAAGCATTTCTGGCTTGAACCATGTATATTGTGGTAGCTCTAACAAGGTAAAAATCCATGGTGTGCCATGTCAAAACTGGACGAATTACTAAAACTACTGGTATTTAGCTGTAGGAATATCGATATATTTTCAAGAGAAATAAAATGACAGTTCTCAATTATATACGACATTTTTTTCCCTTTCTTGGCTTCTTCTCTTTCTAGGGTTCAATTCTAACAGCCAGCTCAGAAATCCATCTCTGCTGTGTTTTCCCTTTCTCTCAATTTCTCCCCAATCTTTCCAAAAGAAGCTGTAATGGAAAAATAATAATAATAATTTGACTCAGCAAAGCTGCTATATTGCATCATAGAATCACTAAGGTTGGAAAAGACCTCTAAGATCATCGAATCTGACAATAATCGCAGTGTTCACCGCTAAACCATGTCCCCAAGGTGCCACATCCACATGACTTTAGAACACTTCTAGGTTCATATGGGACATAAAAAAATAAACCAATACTTTTGAAGCTGTCACAGTGTTATGAACCTAAAAAATAAACAAAATGATCTGAAAATAGATGTTGTACAGATGTATATAAATAATGATTAATATTTCAGTCTAAAAACCTTATAGTTGAGATATTAGATTCTCATCCTGTTTCAGTACTGTATTTCAGAACACATAGTATTTGGTTTGAGCGTCCATATAGCTATTACTCTCTCTTTAATCTAAGACCTTCTAATGTGAAATTGAAAAAACTATTATTGCTTGCACATAATTCCTCATGAAGGGAAGGCAGGCAGACTTCAGATAGAGGTGTTTTACCATATTATCATACTATTAGACCTCAACTGTAGTGAGGGTATCAGTGAGGGACTGCTAATGTCATTAGTGTCACTTCATTCAGTGTGGCACACACAGAGATAAGAAAGTTCTCTATCATGCAGAAGCGAGGTTTCCGTATGCAAGCTGTAGACTTAGAGACATTTTTTTTTTTAAATCAATGATTTAAACATTAAATATGCATCTTTTATATTATGGTCATAAGGGATGAAACAAAAATGCTCAACAGCTGACTAAATGACACGTTGTTCAATAAAGATTAAACAAAAGCTTTGTGCAATGTCAGAGACAGCTATTAAATGAAAGGAAATTTCAATCTCATTAAGCTGGTAAAAGCACTGAGGCAAACACCATACGTTTTACATTGTGTGCATATCGAACTCTAGTTCTCCTTAGGTAATGATGTATTTGACAACTTTCAAGCCATTAAAGGATAAAATGTGCTTTGCTCTACTAAATTTCACTGGGGTAAATATTCCATTTAAAAAAACACAAACTCAAAATCTATGACAAGAAAATAAGTAAATTATGTAAACACCATTCCTTTTTGTATATTTGGGTATCACAGTGTTAAAACACTATCACAGTATTGTGTTTAGGAAGAAGCAGCTCTTAAATGATTCCAGATTCAAGTTCAAACATCTGAAAATAAGAGTTACTTATAAACTCAGTGCTCCTAACTATCTTCACTACAGATAATTTTCAGGGAAAAAAATCCACCTTCTTTGAAGTCCAAGTACCACAAGGCTAAATTTTATACTTCACTGTGGTCCAATTATGTTTCATAAGGTATATAAAATTTGCAAACACCAGTTCACAAAGTGGACATCCAGCCTCATTTGGGAGTGTCCTTGGCTGAAATACTATCTACATCATTGCTACCAGACCTCACCCATGCTAAATGATCCAAGTGTTCATCCATACAACTCATATTCAAAAAGAAAGAAGATAGCAAAGTAAATCCTTAGAAATTAGAAACAATTTTCAGGAGATAGTCTTGCAACCTTGATTCAGCATGTACCTGGTGTCTGACCATGTGATCACACAGGACTTTTTCTCATCCTCTGTAGATATTTACTGCATGGGAAATAGCTTTTTTTTTTTTAATCTCTTGATGCACAGCCATAATCCATGATCATGCCAGGAACATAATCCCCATTTCCAGTGACAGAGCAGCAGCAGGAATTCCTGCTGCTCTGCACTCAGGATTCAGTGAAAACATATCTTGAAGACACAAAGTGTGAAGTCATACACCATCCAGGATAAAGGCACTAGACCTGCTGGGGGAAAACGGAGCTTCCACAGTGAACTCATGAGTGTGGTGTATTCTTTCTAAAGGATAACTTGGAAGAAGGTGCGTAATGTTGCAGTTTCCCCCTACTCTGTTACAGAGGCAAATCTGTGCTCCTGAGTGGGCCACACAAATGCAAAGATGAATAAATTATCTTGACCACCATGTTGAGGAGCAAAGACTAAGGCAAAACTCGTATAAAATATCTAGGAAATACGTGTTTCCAACTGGAGTTATGTGAAGCCAGGTAGAGGGAACACAACAGAGGTAGGATGTCATACACAATGACTTCCACAAGCATCCAATTCTGGAGTGGTTTTATGGTGTCACATGTTCAAATTCAAAGCCATCCATCCAAACATCAGCAAGAGTCTTTTTTATTTTTTTTCTGATCAAAGGGAGAAGCTTGAGAGAAGACACTGTAATGAGAGGATGACAGTGGTGGCAGGAGTTGAACTTAGACCTACCAAAAGAGTCTGAGACACACTGTACAGTAGAGAAGGAGAAGGGATTGCACAATATCTCTCCATCCTCACATATGATGACATTAAGGAATCCTTTCTAAGAAGTCACAGGAAGGCATTCCTGATAACTCTCGTGTATTGATATGAGTCACGGCATTTCGTGCTATGCAGAATAATTGATAAATAAGGTAGCAATTCTGGCTAGAAGGACACACATCTGTGTATTAGCCCTAAGTGCAGACCCAGCTACATAATTTCTTTGTTATTGCTCCCTTTCAAATTCTGCCTAAAATTTGAGTGAGAGAGTCCCAGGGAAACAAAAAAACCAGGGATAACTGTTGTTAGTGTTCCTGAAAAAGGACAAGCAATAGGATGATGAGAAAGGAAAATAATTGCTGTCAAAGGACATATTAAAACAGAGTACTGAAACACACACATAAGCAATTCATAAATCTTCACCGACATCAGTCAGAAAACCATGATCCATACCAAGTTCTTTGCATTTGTTGGATGTTTGTTTTTTAGCTGCATTTCACATGACCAGACCACAAGGGAAAGAAATACCAAAAAGCAGGAAAGTGCCTATAAGTCTACTGTGAAAAACAGAGCATCTCCACTTTCTGGAAACTCTAAACTCCAGTCCATGTTAGAAAAATCTTAATGTTAAAATCATCTCCTCTTGCAATGGAGTCACTGGTCATTACATGTCCCTGACTTCGTAGGAGCAACTTCCCACAGAACTCTCATTTGTCCCTACTCTAATTAGGAAGAGCAATTTTTAAACAACTCACCTTGTATATTTAATGAAAATTACTTTGAAATACTGTTCCTTAAGCCATTTTTTTCTTTCAAGATCAAACATTACAAGGGAATAAAAGATTTTTTTACACACATCCCAAACTGAAATGCAGACAACAACTAGACAGCAGAGAGAAAAGACTGTAGGAAAATGAGAAATTTATGTTGTTGTATAATGTTTAAGCAATGGTTCAGTTCAAAATCATCTTTTAAAACAAACAGCAAAACAGTGAAACAAAATTTTTAATATGGTCATTCAGACCTAACCTGAACCCTAAGGAGTCCCAGTAAATAACACATATTTGGATTTTAAATGACTTAGTTACAGCAACTTCTAAAAACATATTCTCAATGTTAACTACTTTCATGCTGTTACTCCTAGCACAAATTACACCCACACTGACCCTACAGGTGATACACAGATCAGTCCAAACCCAATGAAAACCCTATAATGAAAATATCAGTGGGGATCATGATCAGAATCATAGTGCCAATTAGTTAATTAATATTTTAAAATACACACTCTCTATATATGTACATAAAGTAACACTGGCTTTAGACTGAGAAAATATACTATGTACATAACAGTGCAAGACCGATTTGTTCAGTCCTGTGTCTGAAGCAAAAAACAGACCCTTCCTTTTCTTCCATCACTAACATGACTTCTGTGAGTGTTCATTACCTGTGAAAGGACCTTTTCCATTGTACAGTCTTCTAGAGAGAACATCACTGCCTTATAGGAACTGACCAGTTCTAAATATATTCTATTATTGGTTTCCCAAAAGAGAGAATAAACTTGGTTTATACCCAAAGTTACTTAAGATATTAAAGACATACCTCCTCCATGGCTCTGACAGAGATACGGGAACCTCCACACATTTCCTAAGCCCACACAAAACCCTATGCACGTCAGCATATACTGAGCCTTGTTATCCCATTTTGGTCTGGAGTCTGCCTCTTGTTTCTCAAGGACCTCAAGCTCAGCATGAGAAGGTATCCTGTCCTCCAGGCCAGGATTGGGCAACTTTAGCTTTACCATATTTTAAATTTCCTGACTGAAAACACTGCCACAGTGAGGAACAATGAAACAGGCAGCTAGTCAGAAACCTGCTCAAAAAGAGACCATCTATTTGCTGTCTTCAGCTATATATAGTGAACCTTTGGCACTAGATTTGTAAGTGCAGGCTTGTGGTAAAACGAAGCGTCAGCAAATCATTCGATTGACCAAGTCAGCTCTGACACTTATTAATGCTTTATCTGTCAAGGTTTTATGGAACAGCCTGTTCATCTAGTAGAAAACATGGATTTCAGCTAATGTAATTCAGGAGATAATTTGGCTATAAACTGTAATCGCCTATAAGGATATATAACATCCCTTGCCACTCCCTTGTTTAAACTCACTGAAATACATACATAGCCCTAGCAAATAAGAAGTAATAAGGTGCCCCTGGTCTAAGACCAAATATAGAAACTTTGTATCGTTTCTTATCAGGAAGATAAAGTGCTTGTGACTCACCATCACGTTCAGTTTCTCATAGCATTCACTTACAAAATCGTATGTTTCATGTTTCTCTGTAACAGACCCGAATGTTCTGACCAAAAGGATGGGAAATGAAAGGGATTAGAAAATCTGATCTTTAAAGTCATAAACATAATTTGCTTACACTAATGCCTTTAATCGTTACAAGGTCTGAAGAACAGAGTGTCTTTTTTATAAATGGTCTTGAAATCAAAGGTCCCTTCACCTTTTAAATGACCGTAGATACACTGGTCCAAAATAAAAAAGAGACACTGGTTAACAAATATCACAGATACTAGCCACATACTCATTATTTCAGCACAATGATAAAAGAATTGCCATTTGTACCTCAGTGTTATCAAAAGATAAGTACTTGCCACTGAAAACTATTCATAAAATCTAACACTATATTTATCATAAGAGTTTTTTTCAGCTAAGCCCTACAGGCTCATTGCATACAATTATACAGGATCATCAAAATAAAGAACTAGAAAAGATCTTGTAATTCCAGCCTGTGGCTAAGGAGGTGAACACATCACAGCATCCCTTTGCAACCTTCAAAGTTGATTCCAAAAGTTGTTAATTATCTTTTGAATAGAAAAGTTACAAAAAAAGTCTTCATCCTTCACATGGATGACTGTATACAGTAGCCCAGATGAATTTTCCCTGTAATAGGTATTAATATTTCCCTAATTTAACCTGAAATATCTCTCAGTCTGCCTAGTGATAGCCTTTTTTGTGACCCTGTCAGGTCTGTGGATGAGCTCTTTCCTGATTAACCACTGGATCATCAACTTTCTTCTCCTTTGGTGATTTCAACTACAGATTTCCTAGTTTGCAGCAGAACAACTTCTTTTAAGCTGCCAAAAGCATATGTTCAATTTCACGCACTTTCTGCTACTCCAGTGCATTGAGCTGCTCAGTTCTTCCTGAATTGATACTTTTTCAGCATTTGCAATACTTCTGAGATTGTTTCATGAGTATTTCATTAACATGCTACTATTTTTGTCCTTAGTCATCAGTGGAAGAATGACAAAACACTGTTCCTAAGCTGATCTTAAGGAACTGCCATAGTAACCTCCCCTTAGACCATACTTTCTCCTTTCAGCTGAGCTTACCATCATAATTAGATCTTTACCTAGTTCTTTGTTCATAGAGTCACCATAGAATCATAGAATGGTTTGGAAGGGACATTAAAGGTCATCTAGTTCCAACCCCCCAGCCATGGGCAGGGATACCTTCCAGTAGACCAAGTTGGTCAAAGCCTCATCCAACCTGTGGATGGGGCATCTGCAACTTCTCTGGGAAACTTGTTCCTGTGTCTTACCAACTTCATAGTGAAGAATTTCTTCCTAATATCTTATCTAAACGTACTTCCTTTCATTTTGAAGCCATTACCACTTGTCCTAACACTGCATGCCCTGCCAAACATACCTCTCTTGTTTCCTTGTAGGCTCCCTTTAGGTACTGGAAGGTGCTCTAAGGTCTCCCCGGAGCCTTCTTTTCTTCAGGCTGAACAGCCCCAACTCTCTCAGCCTGTCTTCATAGGAGAGGTGTAATCATCTTTGTGGACTCCTCTGGACTCACTCCAACAATCTTTCTCATGCAGAGGGTCCCAGAGCTGGATGCAGCACTCCAGGTTGGGTCTCACATGGGCAGAGTAGAGGGGAGAATCACCTCCCTTGACCTGCTGGTCACACTTTTTTGGATGTAGGAGTTGATTGGTTAATCTTCTGGGCTGCAAGAGCATACTGTTGGCTCATGTCCAGCTTTATGTCCATCAACATCCTGCAGTCCTTCTTCCCAGGGCTGCTCTCAATCCATTCTCCACCCAGCCTGCATTTGCACTTGGGGTTGCCCTGACCCAGGTGCAGCACCTTGCACTTGGACTGGTTGAACCCCATTATGTTCTCATGTGCCCACTTCTCAAGCTTGTCCAGGTCCTCCCTGGATGGCATCCCTTCCTTCTGTTGCATCAACTGCACTACTTTGTTCATGTTGTATCTCCTGTTCAGTTCAGTTCATACATCTAGTTGTGGTCACATGGCAACTGGTCTCCTGAAAATTCCTCTCTGCTAAGTTTCACGTGCAAGCAGTTTCTATCAGGATCCAAAACCACATTCCAGATTGCCTTTGACTGAACAAATCCTCTTTCTGAAGAATTTTATCTTATTTCAGTAATGCAAGGTTCCAGTGGTTGTTAGTTACCTATCAGTTGTTAAATATTTGCAGAAGCAAATGTGTTGGTATAGCATCTAGCTCAAATTTCTTTATCAGTATAATAGCTAATGACTTTGGAAGGCACAGTGCTTTTTTCTGAAGGACCTAAGGCAGCAATGACACCAGCTTCTACACAACCCGCAGGTGCTCAGAGGGGTTGTCTGTATTGCCACCCTGTGGATTTGAACAAGCAAGTTGGAGCTGCTCTTCCATAGTCACAGTCACAGGTCTATTCAGCAGAACCCCTTCCTGTGCTCTGAGATAAACTTCTCGTTCATGTCGAGCTTACATTTGGCAAGTCTCACAGGGTTTGTTATGGCTAATAAACCTCCACGAAATCCATCCTTTCACAGGCTGATAAACAAGACATGTATTGTAAACTGCTAATTATAAATGCAGGAGAAAACGGATCTTAGATTGGATTACTTGAGTTAAAATGTTATGATCCTGTGAGGACCAGGGAGTTGAAACTGATGATCCTTCTGGGTCCCTTCCAACTTGAGATATTCTATGATTTTATGATTCTTCTGCCCTCCATCATGGGCTGGAAGGAACTGCACTGGGGGAACTACTTTTGGCTGGATCCTGTGAACGGGAGGACAAAGAGAAATCAGCATGACAGAGCAGGGACCTCTTCTTTAAAAAAACCAAATCCTTTCCTATAAAGCCATTGAGAAAAGCAGAGAGCACTAGCAATATATATAGTTTTTATCCAGCCATAGTTTCAGGCATGAAATACAATACAGTCCTTTCCTTGTGATTCCATCCTTCCTGGTGTGACATAGGACAAATCTGTAATTCTCCAGATATTTTTATCTGGACTTACTATATAGCATGCTATTAGGATTAACTACATTATTCTATGACCCTTTTTAGTACTGTAGCAGATACTGATTTGAAATCTCTTACTCTAGTAATTCTATAGCACTGTCTTACCAGCATTAGTCATATTTTCTTTCCAGTCAGTCTCTACTTTATAGTCAAAGCATCATATACAGTAATGCAATTACTCTTGCTTATGTGATAAGCCTAAACCAGGAAAAGATGGAAATGTAAGGTTGGTGATAACTATACAACCAAATGCCTAAAGCACAGGATTCTCATTTGGAAGTGTAAATTGGTAAAGACGTAATAAAAGTGAAAAAGAAGAAAATTCAAAGCCCATCTCTGTTTGGACCATCCTTTTAAATATGTGGAGAAAACACAAAATCCTTCTACAAGTTGCCCATGGGTCACATCCTTGAACAGCTGTGCAAAGAGGGAGCACCGAACCTCAGGCTCGGGAGGAGACTCAAAATCACCAGCCTAAAGGACACTGATGATCATATTAGAAGGGGAGAGATGCAGGCAAAATATTTCAGAGTTGCTTAGTTTTAAGGGTAATAATCAATGGCAAATGGTCATGCAGTTTACTTTGCCAATAAATTATCTGTAGATCTTTAACTTGATCTAAGTTTTATGCTCTGTTGTTCTCAAACTCTACCTGATAAGTAACCAAAAGACAGCTCTTCAGCTGACATGATTTGATTTCCTATGTTTGTAGTTCAAGGCTGCTGCCATCAACCCACAGCAGTTCAAGCAGGAATACCGTGAAGGCTTTGGAGACATCCAATAAACCGTGGAAGCTAAATCTCTTCCCATAAAACCGCAAACTTTTCCAGTTGAGAGAGAAGTCTTTTGGTGCTATCAAGTATCACTGCAGAGGAGAAATAAAACAGCACTGAGCTGTCATTGAAAATCTGTCTCAGGCTATTGGAAACACAACAGGGGTGGGATTTCATACACAATGACTTCCACAAACATTGCATTCTGGAGTGGTTGTATGGTGTCAAGGAGTTTCCTTCAGCAATCTGATATACCTAGGAATTGTCAGTTCATGTTTATTGTGGAAGTAGCAGGGTTCTTGGCCACAGAAGGATTTAAGGAAACAAGCTATGAACAGCATATCTAGTGTAGTTCATCCAGAACTGAGCTGACACTGATGTCCGTGTGGTCTTTTTCTCTTTTCTATCTCCTAGAAAGAGGTGCAATCTTTATATTTGTCTATACTGGTAGTTTCCATAATACTTATTTCAGCATTATATATAAATATTTCAGTAAGGTAATATCAGCTCATGCTGCTTTGTTTGGTTCTTCTTGTTGACAGCAGGGAGGGAGATGTGCTGTCCTTAATATTTCACTGCATACAGTCAGAAGATCACCATCTCCTTCCTTTCATCTTTGAAGAATACATTTCATCTTAAGAATATCTTTGGGGGAAAATACAGGTAAGTGGCATAGGTGTAGAAATGCTTCAGTGGACAGCACCAAATTATCTGATGTCATGATCAGAGGCTGGAGCACCTCTCCTACAAAGACAGAATGAGGGAGTTGGGGTTCTTCAGTCTGGAGAAGAAAATACTCAGGAGAGACCCTATTGTAGCCTTTCAGTACTTCAAGGGGGCTTATATGAACACAGGGACAAATTTTTAGCAGGGCCTGTTGTGATAGGACAAGGAGTAATGGTTTTAAACTAAAAGAAAGTTGATTTAGACTAGATGTAAGGAAGAATTTTTTTACAAGAAGGGTGGTGAAACACTGGAACAGGTTGCCCAGAGAGGTGGTAAATGCCCCATCCCTGGAAACATTCAAGGTCAGGTTGGACAGGGTTCTGAGCAACCTGATCTAGTTGAAGATGTCCCTGCTCATCACAGATGGGTTGGAATAGATGAACTTTAAAGGTCCCTTCCAACCCGAATCATTCTACAATTTTATGGTGTCCAGTATCTCCCTAAATTTCTTAGTAAAGTGCTATTGCTTGGGTCTGTCTCACCTACATCTTGTCTCACCAAACGTCTCCTCTCTAGCAGGCAGCAGAACATGTTAACAGGTATAGGTTGTTGCTTGCTGTGTGCATTAAGCAATGAACAGTGTTCTTGAATCAAGTTTGTTACTGTTTTCTTTTCCAATGCTTTAATATACAATGAGATGCTAATCAGATGCCGAATTACATCCAAGTCTTGCATGTCACCGTTGCATAGAGGTCTACTGCAGTACCCACTTTGGTGGAGACAAGTTCATTCTGTCTTGGTCACCGAACACCGTATTCTTGCTCATATTTCTTGTTATTACGCTTCAGTGGTGTTTGGGCCAGAGGAATCGGACTGTGTAGCATTGGAGATGTGCTCCAGCACGGCTCACGGGAGCAGAAGGTGCTGCTGAGGCTGCTGTCACAAGGGGGAGGCAGCAACTAGTGATATGAAGCACCAACTGCTGTACCTGAGGATTTCATTCTGATTGTGTAAGTCAAGTTTAGAGAAATATAAACCACTCTTATAAAGAGAAGAGTGAAGAGGCATTTTTTTTCAGCAGCTGGACTGCTTGGGCTGGTATCAGCACACAGGGCTGTTAGGGCGCATGACTGCAAACGGTCACCACTACAGGTCTCACAATCCCTCAGCTCTCTTCAAACTCTTCTATCCACAGACTCCTTGTTCCAGAGGCACAATTTACTTTCAGTTTTTTGGTGGTTGCCATGAGTATTATACACAGCTACTAGCATTTTCAAGGCTATTTTACCAGTGGTGTTTCATCTTCTGACTTTCTCCAATGGCTAACCATAATCGTTCTGTAATTAGTCTTTTTCCAAAACTCCTTCCACAGTAATGTCTCAGACAGTGGTACCTTGTGAGTAGCATTATATGCTACTACTGTGCTTGTCCACTTGGAATAAAGTTTGCCACACAGGTGACTTGTCAGCCACCACCTTTAGAGCTGTTACACAGTAGTCTATCACATGTATAAGCTGGGAGGTGTGAGAATTTTTTAACAGCCCTTCTGATGTTAAGGTCCAGGTTGTCCCCTTAACATCTGCATGGTTCACCAAATTTGTGATTCTTGGTACTTGGTGGGTCTTCAAAGTTGTCAGCATTCTGTGAAGGTTTTGACAGAGCTGTTCTTATGTTAGAAAACCAAGAATCAAGTTTCAATATTCAGGTTTGGATATCCCTATACAGAGGTATATTTTCAACCCAGGGTATTTTTCAGAGTCTCCTGGAGCAATTGTGTTCAGTTTATATTGAATACTTCCCAGTGGCTGCAGTCACTGATCATGTAGGAGTCATGGGTGGGGTTGATGAAAAAGTCATGACATTTTTCTCTTGTGGGTTTTTAGATCGGTGCAAATACCAAAAGGTTGCTATGAGGTGTTTTGCATCCTCTCCCATGTGTTGCTTGGCAAGAGCAAGTCATCAACAAAGGCCAAGGTGGTAATCTGGTTTTGCTCTGGAGGAATCCATAGCCATATTTTTCTAGGTTGCAGAATAATGGATTGATTTGGTGACATTGGATCCCGTTGTTTGACAGTGGCCTTGATAGTAATTGGCTTAGTATGATCCTTTGTCATGGTGGTGACACTTATAGATCAAGTTTCATCTGACCACATCTTCAGATAGTTCTCTTTACTTCAGGACCAAAAGGTATGCTCATGTGTCACTCAGTAGGAGGCCTTGGCCATTTCCATGAATACTCCCCACAAGGCTTGTGTTTTTTTTGGTAGCATATTGAATGATAACTTAGAGTGCACTCTGAGAGAAACCAGGTTCAGATATAAGGCCTCTTTGTTACCCATTGACCATTAATAGGCCGAGCTTTTGTTACCCTGGTTGTCAGAATCCATGTAAAGAGTATTAAGATGCTTGATCAGACTGTGATAGGACTCTCAGTTTTGTCATCCAAGTTGATTTCAGTATCAAAATTGTTCTGTGTTCCTTGATACTACCCAGTACACATGCAAACTCAAAGTTCTGCTAATACCAGTCCTTAGGGGATCTGTCTGTACAAGGCCTTTTAAAACTAACTTGGTCTAGGTCAGGTGCTGAGGTTTTACTTTTATCTCCTTCAAGATGTGTTTAGGTGTTATCAGCTTAAAAGGCCAATTTATCAACTTTCCAAGATTTTGAAACTTCTCCGCTTCTCTGTGTTGAGAAATGATTTCTCGCTCTTACACTTGAACTTTACTGACTGAATATACTGCTACACACATTCACACAGAGAACATTTACTGGTTTTATTGGGGTATTTTGCATAGGGTAATGCTCATGGGGGGAAATTGGATCTTTTGACCAAGGCAACTGCCTGGATGCTGATGTTGCAAATATCCCTCAATGATGTCTTCAGCTACATGAGTTGAGACTCCCCAAACTGCTCTGGTGATTCTGTGTGATCATTACAGCATATGCATGATCAGTTCTTGTTGATTATCTTAAGTTATGTAAGAAACACATCTTAACTATGAATAAAAGACAGCCCCACATACCTATCTTTTCATAGGCAGGAACAATTTCCACTGGCTATATAAACTAATGCACGGTTTGGTCAGTTCCTGAATTGACAACAGGAGCTGCCTGGGGAAATCCCGGGCCGTGTGCTGAGCTTTCACCCCAAGTCATTAAGCAATATATCTTAACATACAGATAATGTCCATCAGCTTACAGAGCAGAGTTCCTGCCTATCAGCAGGAGCTCCCTGGAGAAAACCCTGCATATCCCCAGCTGCTGGGAAAGCTCCTGCAGCAATCAGTTGCTTGTTTTGTTGTGACGTGGCCATTGACCTCCTCAAACTACTAAATTCCAATGAGTTACTTCTTAGCAGATCCATCTGTTGTCTCAGCTATGCAGTGATTAGCTGGAAAGCTCCTGGACCAGGCAGTCAGTTAATGACCAAGTGCCCTTGGCATGAAGACCAGCAAAGCCTTCATATCCAGCTGCAGCAAAACTGCAAATATAAACTTGATTTTCATCCTTGTATCACAGTAATAACTCAAATTCCTTTGATTTTACCACAATACCTGAACCGCTGACCAGTTTCTGCCTTGTATCACTCACTATTTTCTCATCCCCACACGAGTGCTCAAAAGCATGCTCTACAGAGCCAGGAGGTGGCAAAGGATTGTGTCAAATACAAATAGGTTGAAGATCTTATACGATGGGAACAAGGATTTCCGGAGTGTCTGAACACTACCCTAGAGCAGCTGGGTTGTAGCGCTTCACAGGGAGGAGGAAGAGGAGGGAAATGAAAAGAGCTGACATGCAGAATGAGATCATCTGAGGGATTCTGCACAAAGGCAGAATATCCTACACAACATTCTATTGAAGGATGACCCCAGTCTTTCAGAGGGATCGTCATCTTTAATTCCACATCTTTAGTTAATGCTGGTGCACTTATCTGTTTGATGATGCTGTTCTTTCCTAAGAAACACATTCTCTTAGCCCTAAGATCAATACTTTTTACATGCCAATATAAAAAATGTACAATTTGTTAAACCTAAAATGGTGCAATTAGGTTGGAAAGTTGCAATAAAGTAGCAAATTCCATTCCTCCCACCCACCAAGTTACAAAACAGTGCAGAAATATGTAAGAGTTTTTATTAATTGTTATTGTTTAACAAGTGACAATTTTCATAACAAAAAAAGTTCATTACATATTTTAAAATTTTTCTTGCATTCTAAATATATATGGGCAGCTCCAAACAATTAACCAATCCAGAATAACAGTGCTGAGCAAGATAAAACTTAAATTAGCATTTCCAACATAAAAACCTACAAAGGGGGAATGTTTCAAAAATACATCACACACATACAAACACGGGTTTGGGTAGAAACTAACAGGACCACTGCTTCTAAACCAGTTACACACTTTTAAAAAGCCTCCTGAAGTAACTCTTCAGTCTTTATATAGTGATCTTCAAAGCCCATGAACAACAGTTCAGTGACTAGTTGAACAAATAACCGACACTTCTAAAAAAGAAGTGCATCTATTCTATTGCATCCAACCCCGTACAACTGAGCGTATGATGCTTCAACATACATATTTATACTGAAAAAATATTTTACGCTCTTGATTACAATTTCTTTAAACATTTTGAGTGATGTCAGTGGTAAACTACAAAAAAATGAAAAAGCGTAAAATCTTTCCTCTTTTAATACTAAGATGTACAAATTCGAGGCATGAATCTCAAATACATTGGCATTGATTTCTCATCTGACATTTGTCTGCTGAGTGGCTGAACTGCCTGCACCGTACTTGTGAAAGGCGTCATAGCTGGATGGCCCCTTTCCACATTCAGAAGGAATTACACATGGGGTAAGTTTTTCAAACTGATTTGTTCTATTTGGCAGTTAGGGTGTGTGGGTATGGCCAGGGGCAGCAGCTTGGCTCAGGCAGCCACACATGAGAAGTAACTCAATCGCATTCTCATCTCCCAACCCACATAACGCTTCGCATCCAGACAAACTGTGGCCCTTCTGGTGTTTGTGATGAGCTCTTTTCTTTCCTCTAAGTTTGTCTACTACAACTTTATTAAAAAAATTAGTACATAAAATACTAATAGATCATCATAACAGTACAATTAGTACCAATAAGGTAAGCAAAATCACAACTGCAAAACTGAGTAGTTTGGGAGTACCTATTTAGTTTAGGAATTTCATTTCATGTTAGGTATTTTTGCTGAGTAATTGGATTAGGTTGCACACACTATTTCAAAAGGTTTATCTGCTTTCTTCTGTGCCCAGACTGAAATGAAACCAGGAGAAAACAGTAAGAGAAAAAACCCCACATCTGTAAGAGCCCTCTGTTAAACTTGGATGGGCATTCACAAAGCTAGATTGCTTCCAAGACATGATTCTAGATGATTGCCTAGAGCAAACCTGTTTACCAAGTCTAACCCTCAGGAAATAATGAACTGCTAATCAAAGACCTGACAACCTACCAACACTAATCAAAGTCAAGTAACAGAGAAGACCAGATAGTACAAACAGAAGGTTAAACACTGCCCCTTTGAGGTCTAAGGCTGGATTACAAAGGAGGAAGAAAAAAGTTATCCAAAATACATGGCACTGTTGAAAAAGAATGTGGTTTCTACTGCTCAAAGGAGTCAAAGTATACTCAAAGTTTTAAGAGGTTGCAGGCAATGGGTTTTTTTGTTAATGTTGGTGTTTTTTAATCTAGAGCTGCTTATTTTCCTGTATTATTTTATTTTGCTCTATCTATAATTTCATGTTTACCGTATCTATTTTGTTTTTATTAACTAAATTAAAAAGTCCCCTCTCTTAAAAGTTTGCAAAGCTTGTATATATGTAGGCTATCATGGTCAGGTGTACATGAAGTGGTGAACCGTAAGGTCAAAATTTAAGAGCCGTGGGGAAGTGTACTTCAGTTCTGGGAGAATGGAGACAGTTGGAGAGGGAGACTGTGGCCAGTGCAGGCTGCTTTTAAGTTT